TATTCATCTAATTTGATTAATTAGAATCAAAATTTTATGACTTATTAATCGATTAGAAATTTGTATATTCGAGGTCAGAGATCGAGACCACATCCTCACCAACATAGTGAAACCCCACCTCTATTAAAAATACAAAAATAGCCCGGTGTGGTGGCGCACAGCCTGTAGTCCCAGCTACTCAGGCGGCTGAAGCAGGAGCATCACTTGAACCTGGCAGACAGAGGTTGCAGTGAGCCAAGACGTGTGCCACTGCACTCTAGCCTGACGACAGAGTGAGACTCCCTCTAAAAAAAAAAAAAAAAAAAAAAAAAATTGTGAATATTACTACTTTTATTACATGGTTGAATTCACTGATAGGTACTTCTTAGATTTTTACCCAGGAGTTAGGCCTTTATTTTTGTTCATTTTTTAATCTTTGTATGTAAGAACCAAAGGACAACGTTAAGTTCTCCATTTAGTTTATCTCAGGCTATTTTGAAATTCTAATAAAATAGCTAAAGTTTCACAAAATTTTTTGACTCATTCCAGAAGTTTTTACTTTAGAATCAGATTACCTGTCCTTTAATTTTGGGCTTAAAAAAAAAAAATTAAAATGCTAACGATGGCCTAATCTCAGCATAACAGCTTAGTCTGAAGACCCTGTATGACGGAATTTATTTTAGATATTTCACATCTATCTTTGATGTCATGGTGCTCATATTGTTATAAAAGCAGTTTGAGACATTTAACGGGTTTTTAAAGCCTATCATTTCTATCCAAGTTTTGTTTGAGACTTCTACTTTTTTTTTTTTTTTCTTTTTTATTATTATTATACTTTAAGCTCTAGGGTACATGTGCATAACGTGCAGGTTTGTTACGTATGTATACTTGTGCCATGTTGCTGTGCTGCACCTATCAACTCGTCAGAGACTTCTACTTTTTAAATATCCAATTAAAAATGTTAGTAACTTTTTTTTATCCTTTGCATCCGACGGTGATGTTTTATCTCCAATATAGCAAGGACTCAATATATGTTAATGCCATGTTTGGGATTTTTTTTTTACTATTAATTTTTATTTTTATTTTTTTAAATCTTTTTATTTTT